CGTCCTCTGCCCGCAGCGCCGCCCGCGCCGGTCCTGCCCTCCTCCGTGTCTTGGCTGCGGGCAACTTCCAAAGTTTCTGAAGAGTTATTTGCAAGGATTGCTCACACACCTTAAACACAGGCCACCTCTCCCCAGCCCTCGGCCACCCTCGCGCAAACGCTCAGACTCTCCGGATTCCGAACCAACGTGGAGGGGGGAGGGGGCGAGGGTGGGAACACCGGGGGTTTGAGAAACTTTCCTCGGAACTCGTCGGCGCCCGGCAGCGCCCCGCGGAACGCCCGGCAGCCCCTCGTCCCCGCTGCGCTCTGGCTACGCCGCGTCCAAATGGCTACCTGGATGGAACCTTTCGCCGCGGCCACTTGCTTCTGCCGGGCAGGCTGTCCTTTGAAATAGCTGAGCTCCCAGCAGGACCGTCAGTGGCATTTGCCAGGATACTTAATCCCCGGTCGTTGCATTCTTTTTGCTTCACCTATTCCTTCTGTTGACCACGCCATTCTAGGGAGCCGGGACCATGGACTTGGCCTGCGCAGGCCGGGCTCCTGGCCGCGCGTGGCTCCCGCTGCCCGGCCCCTCGGTACTCCAGCTCCTGCGCGTCTTCGGGCTGCTGTCCCTGCTGCCGGGGCCGGCCCGGGTCGGCGGGGCCGAGCAGCGCCAGGTGTTCCAGGTGCTGGAGGAGCAGCCCCCCGGCACGCTGGTGGGCACCATCCCCACGCGCCCCGGCTTCACCTACCGGCTCAGCGAAAACCACGCCCTGTTTGCCATCAACAGCAGCACCGGCACCCTGTACACCACGGCCACCATCGACCGCGAGAGCCTGCCTAGCGACGTGATCAACCTGGTGGTCCTCTCCAGCTCGCCCACCTACCCCACCGAGGTGCGCGTGCTGGTGTGGGACCTGAACGACAACGCCCCCGTCTTCCCGGACCCCTCCATCGTCGTCACCTTCAAGGAGGACAGCAGCAGCGGGCGCCAAGTCATCTTGGACACGGCCACCGACGCGGACATCGGCTCCAACGGCGTGGACCACCACTCCTACCAAATCGTGCAGGGCAACGAGGAGGGCCGCTTCCGCCTGGACATCACGCTGAACCCGAGCGGCGAGGGCGCCTTCCTGCACCTGGTGTCCGAGGGCGGGCTGGACCGCGAGGTCACGCCGCAGTACCAGCTGCTGGTGGAGGTGAAGGACAAGGGCGAGCCCAAGCGGCGGGGCTACCTTCAGGTGAACGTGACCGTGCAGGACATTAATGACAACCCCCCGGTGTTCGGCAGTTCCCACTACCAGGCGGGGGTGCCCGAGGACGCGGCCGTGGGCTCCAGCGTCCTCCAGGTGGCGGCGGCGGACGCCGACGAGGGCACCAACGCCGACATCCGCTACCGGTTGCAGGACGAGGGGACCCCCTTCCAGATGGACCCCGAAACGGGGCTTATCACGGTGAGGGAGCCCCTGGACTTCGAGGCGCGGCGCCAGTACTCGCTGACGGTGCAGGCTCTGGACCGGGGCGCGCCGTCCCTCACCGGGCGCGCCGAGGCGCTCATTCAGCTGCTGGACGTCAACGACAACGACCCGGTGGTGAAGTTCCGCTACTTCCCCGCCACCTCGCGCTACGCCTCGGTAGACGAGAACGCGCAGGTGGGCACCGTGGTGGCTCTGCTCACCGTGACGGACGCAGACTCCCCCGCGGCCAACGGGAACATTTCCGTGCAGATTCTTGCGGGCAACGAGCAGCGCCACTTTGAGGTGCAGAGCAGCAAAGTGCCGAACCTGAGCCTCATCAAAGTGGCCAGCGCCCTGGACCGGGAGCGCATTCCTTCCTACAACCTGACGGTGTCCGTCTCGGATAACTACGGGGCGCCCCCTGCTGCGGCGGTGCGGGCGCGCTCCTCGGTGGCCAGCCTGGTGATTTTTGTCAATGACATCAACGACCACCCTCCTGTCTTTGCGCAGCAGGTGTACAGAGTGAACCTGAGCGAGGAGGCGCCCCCGGGAAGCTACGTGAGCGGAGTGTCTGCCACGGATGGCGACTCCGGCCTCAATGCGAACCTGCGTTACAGCATCGTCTCTGGCAATGGCCTGGGCTGGTTCCATATCAGCGAGCATAGCGGCCTGGTGACCACCGGGGCTGCCGGGGGCCTGGACCGTGAACTTGCTTCCCAAATTGTACTGAACATCAGTGCTCGGGACCAGGGCGTTCACCCCAAGGTCTCCTACGCCCAGCTCGTAGTAACTCTGCTGGATGTGAATGATGAAAAGCCAGTGTTCAGCCAGCCGGATGGGTACGATGTGTCTGTGGTGGAGAACGCCCCGGCAGGAACAGAACTGCTGGTGCTGGGGGCAACTGACGGGGACCTGGGTGACAATGGGACAGTGCGCTTCTCCCTACAAGAGGCGGAGACTGACCAGAGGTCTTTCCGTCTGGATCCCGTGTCTGGGAGGTTGAGTACCATCTCCTCTCTGGACAGAGAGGAGCAAGCTTTCTACTCCCTGTTGGTTCTGGCCACAGACCTGGGCTCCCCTCCCCAGTCCTCAGTGGCACGCATAAATGTGACTCTCCTGGACATGAATGACAACAGTCCTGTGTTCTACCCAGTCCAATACTTTGCTCATATCCAGGAGAATGAGCCTGGAGGGAGCTACATTACCACGGTGTCTGCCACTGACCCCGACTTGGGTCTCAATGGAACTGTCAAATATAGCATATCAGCTGGGGACAGGTCTCGGTTTCAGGTCGATGCTCAGAGTGGGGTGATTTCTACAAGGATGGCCCTAGACAGAGAAGAAAAAACAGCTTACCAGTTGCAAATAGTGGCTACTGACGGTGGCAATTTACAGTCCCCCAACCAGGCAGTAGTAACCATCACTGTATTGGACACTCAAGACAACCCACCCGTATTCAGCCAGGCTGCCTACAGCTTCGTGGTCTTTGAGAATGTGGCTCTGGGATATCATGTGGGTAGTGTGTCTGCATCCACCATGGATCTCAATTCCAACATCAGTTATCTGATTACTACTGGGGATCAGAAAGGTATGTTTGCTATCAACCAGGTCACTGGGCAGCTTACCACAGCTAGTGTGATTGACAGAGAAGAGCAGTCCTTTTATCAGCTGAAAGTAGTGGCCAGTGGGGGCACAGTGACTGGAGACACTATGGTTAACATCACGGTTAAGGATTTGAATGACAACTCTCCCCATTTCCTTCAGGCAGTAGAGAGCGTGAATGTGGTGGAGAATTGGCAGGCAGGGCACAGCATTTTCCAAGCCAAAGCTGTGGACCCTGACGAGGGTGTCAATGGCATGGTGCTCTATAGCCTGAAGCAGAACCCCAAGAACCTATTTACTATCAATGAAAAGAATGGTCATGTGAGTCTGCTGGGGCCCCTGGATGTCCATGCCGGTTCCTACCAGATAGAGATCTTGGCGTCAGATATGGGTGTTCCACAGCTCTCCTCTAGTGTCATCTTAACAGTGTATGTCCATGATGTAAATGACAACCCACCTGTATTTGACCAGCTCTCTTATGAGGTCACCCTCTCTGAGTCAGAACCTGTGAATTCTCGATTCTTTAAAGTGCAAGCTTCTGATAAGGATTCAGGAGCAAATGGTGAAATTGCATATAGCATTGCTGAAGGAAATACAGGGGATGCTTTTGGCATATTCCCAGATGGTCAATTGTATATAAAAAGTGAGCTGGACCGTGAACTTCAAGACAGATATGTTTTACTGGTGGTTGCTTCTGACAGAGCGGTGGAACCCCTTAGTGCTACTGTGAATGTTACTGTAATTTTAGAAGATGTAAATGATAACAGACCTCTTTTTAACAGTACCAATTACTCGTTTTATTTTGAAGAGGAGCAGAAAGCTGGGTCATTTGTGGGCAAAGTAAGTGCTGTAGATAAAGACTTTGGGCCAAATGGAGAAGTCAGGTATTCTTTTGAAATGGTTCAGCCAGACTTTGAGTTGCATGCTCTTAGTGGGGAAATTACAAATACTCATCAGTTTGACAGGGAGTCTCTTATGAGGCGCAGAGGGACTGCAGTGTTTACCTTTACAGTCATTGCAACAGACCAGGGGCTCCCGCAGCCTCTCAAGGATCAGGCCACTGTACATGTTTACATGAAAGATATAAACGATAATGCTCCCAAGTTTGTAAAAGACTTTTACCAAGCTACAATATCGGAGTCCGCAGCCAACCTGACACAGGTTTTAAGAGTATCTGCCTCAGATGTTGATGAAGGTAATAATGGACTTATTCATTATTCTGTAATAAAAGGGAATGAAGAAAGACAGTTTGCTATAGATAGTTCCTCTGGCCAGGTGACACTAATTGGCAAATTAGACTACGAAGCAACATCTGCCTATTCCCTTGTCATTCAAGCAGTGGATTCAGGGGTAATCTCCCTCAACTCAACCTGTACCTTGAATATTGATATTTTAGATGAAAATGACAATACCCCTTCATTCCCTAAATCAACACTCTTTGTTGATGTTTTGGAAAACATGAGAATTGGTGAACTCGTGTCATCTGTTACCGCAACTGATTCAGATTCCGGTGACAATGCTGATTTGCACTACAGCATTACTGGGACTAATAACCATGGAACTTTTAGCATTAGCCCAAACACTGGGAGTATTTTTCTTGCCAAGAAATTGGACTTTGAAACACAGTCTTTGTACAAATTAAATATAACAGCAAAAGACCAAGGAAGGCCTCCTCGTTCATCTACAATGTCAGTGGTTATACAGGTGAGAGACTTCAATGACAACCCTCCTAGCTTTCCTCCTGGGGATATTTTCAAGTCTATTGTTGAGAACGTTCCCATTGGAACGTCTGTCATTTCAGTGACTGCCCATGACCCTGATGCAGACATTAATGGACAACTAGCCTACACGATCATCCAACAGATGCCAAGGGGCAACCACTTTGGCATAGATGAAGTCAAAGGCACTATATACACCAGTGCTGAAATAGATCGGGAATTTGCTAACCTCTTTGAGTTAACGGTAAAAGCCAACGATCAAGCTGTGCCTATAGAAACTAGACGGTATGCGTTGAAAAACGTGACCATTTTGGTCACAGACCTCAATGACAACGTTCCAGTGTTCATATCACAGAACGCCCTCGCTGCAGACCCTTCAGCCGTGATTGGCTCTGTGCTGACCACAGTCATGGCTGCTGACCCTGACGAAGGTGCCAACGGAGAGGTGGAGTACGAGATCATCAACGGGGACACAGACACCTTCGTCGTGGACCGTTTCAGTGGAGACTTGAGAGTGGCATCAGCACTGGTGCCTTCACAGCTGATCTATAACCTCATCGTTTCAGCAACGGACCTTGGCCCTGAAAGGAGGAAATCCACCACCGAACTGACCGTCATTCTTCAGGGCCTCGATGGACCTGTTTTTACTCAACCCAAATATATAACTATTTTGAAGGAAGGGGAACCCATCGGTACCAATGTGATATCAATAGAAGCAGCGAGCCCTAGAGGATCGGAAGCCCCAGTGGAGTATTATATTGTTTCAGTTCGATGTGAAGAAAAAACCGTTGGACGTCTCTTTACTATTGGACGACAAACTGGCATGATTCAGACGGCAGCCATTCTGGACCGGGAGCAAGGGGCCTGCCTTTACCTGGTGGAGGTTTACGCCATCGAAAAATCAACTGCTTTTCCCAGGACGCAGCGAGCAGAGGTAATGATTTTGTCATTGTTTCTGAATTACTTGTTATGCTTTTAGAAAGATCATTCTCTTTATAATTGTTTACCTGTATTGTTGGTGATTGATTTTTACCTATGGGAGTATATGAAAATGTTTTGGCACAAAGACAAGCAAGAATTACATAAAGTTAGGTTTAACCCTGGTCAAAACTAAACAGTGAACAGTTCTTACTTTATAGTTCACCTCATAGCAGTCACGTGTATAAGGCGAGGCAGAAATCTTTAGCCATGTCTGAAATGCCCCCCCCCCAATAACAAAACAACCCACGTCCAGTTACGTAGGCTGAACCCCAGCACTGAACTAAACACCCCTCAGTAAGGAGGTCTGCTAGAGAATGGGTGATTTCAGACCTCAGAAATGTCTGTTCCAAAATGAAGAACTTTGGTAGAAATCAGCCTTACAGCCTAGCTGTCTTAGGGGGTGTGACCATGGAGGACAGACTGACAGTTTACGTTCGGACAGTATTAACTTTCACACCCTCAGCAGCCTTGGCAGTTTCTTTGTAGACAATGACTAATTTCAATGTGCGGAGCCAAGTTTAGGGAGATGCCTGATTTCGTCTGCCTTGGCATGTTAGGCACTGTCCTCTGACTTACGGTAATCCTTTCTCTTCCCTCTTGACCTAAAGCATGTAATGTGCTGCGCATGATCAGAGATTGGAAGCAGTTTCTTGAGACGAGACGGTGCTGTTCAATACCATGGTATAGGTTAGGTACACGTTGTTCTATCTGCTGATGGTGAGAAGTTAGTGTTTCACAGCATAAGCCAAGAGAATTCCAAGCTTGGCCTTCCCTGGGTTATATTTTAGGATGCTACCTCTGTGTATCACTGATTTGTTTTTTAATTGAACTCCTGCCAATGTTGTCTTGATATCAACCAGAAATGATATAGCTGTGCTCTGGAAAGCTCTTGTTTGCCATTTTCTAAGTGCTTTCTGTCCCTCCCTACTCCCCTCAAAGTCGTTCTGGTGTCACTCAGCCAAAAACACAAAGTATCAAATGTGGTTTGTGATATTTGGCAGTAACCCAGACATAACATGCTTGTGAGATTGAGGCTCATGTGTTTGTTTTCTTGCTTTTCTATTTGGGGAGGTGAAGGGTTTTCTTCATTTAAAACGCTCATTTATTATTATTGTCTTTTTTAATTCTCAGGGATTTTTTTTTTCCATAATAGCTAGCTATGTCTGTTCAATGGATGGAACAGCAAATTCATGGCCTAGAGGATATTAGAGATATAATTAGAGATATACTTCTTAATAGAGAGATAATTCTCAGGGATATAATCCTAAGTGGAACTCAGTTTATACATAGCCCTGAAGGGATTTCTAACCCACATGTCCTCTTTTGCCTAATTAGTTTTCTCAAGATCTTAACATAGGTCTTACATGTAGAACTACTGGGTTGAACTCAGGCCTTGATTTATGTAATTTTATTTTGATGTGGTGCATTCCTCCCCTAAACCCTCTCCCTGTCTCTACCTTCCTTCTCTGGAATCATTTCTTAGATGAAGAGATTGCATTAGTTTGAAGACTGAAATAGTTATTATTAAAGACAGGCAATTAAGTTGTTCCAGACTTTAGATGAACTTGTTAAACTGAAGGACAAATTATATTATTGGTTGTTGGCTGGTTCAGTGTATTACATTTTTTAGAAAATATGGAGAATTAGAATAAATGTCCATTGTTATTCATTAGAAAGTTTGTCTTGCTGTTTACTCAGTGGATTTGCAAAGATTGTCTTAGATTAAATTTATTAAGTAGTGCTGTCTTTGTAATAGCCCTGCAGATTAAAAAACAATAATTAGAAATCATTTTGTTAGTAATAGGGGATAACATGTTTATTACTTTTTTAAACCTCAAATAACACCCATATGAAAATTATTCATATTTACTGTACCCTATTTATTTAAAAATTTGGGAGAAGTCATTATGGTGATCTATATAAAAAAAAGTTGCTTGTCAGGGTGTCTTCTGTGAACTAAAGTGCTGGAATTGTAAACCAAGTTTGAGTTCCCAAGGTCCAACCACTCCTGAAATTAAAAGCAAATGTGCTTCCCCAAAGAATATTGAAAGCAGTAGTTGGGAGCTAGAATTTCATATTATTATTGGTTGTATCTTTTAAGTATATACAATAAAATACGTTCTTCCTTCTGCTGAAACAATTAATTTGCCATGATTCTGCAAAGAGAAGTTATAAATTACTTCTGGTTGTCAGAGGTGATTTTTCAGCTGTTTGTTTCCAAGTGCAAACTTTGCTCCAATGCATTTTTAAACATTTACTCATGTACACTGATAGGCCTCTGGGTTGCTTACTCGGGTTTCTGGCTAGAGTCATGGCTGACCACATTCCATGGCAAGCAGAGGGTCAGTGGGTAAAAGAGAAATGATTTCATCTAAGTTCTTTGTCCATCTCTGATGCATGTGGAGCAGGCCTGGGGACAGTGGCTCTAATATTGCTCACTCCAGAGATCTGTCCAGTTGTGTGCCTTCAGTTACCCTAATCTCACAGCTAAAATTTTGGTCTGAATAGGAGTGCCTTTGAAGGATCACTTTGGGTTGCAGACATAAGGTTTATTATTCTCTTATTTTGTGTCTTTCTAGTCTCAGAAGAGTTTTGATTAGGTTAAAATAGCTCATATAAGTTTTGAAGCATTTTTCTAGGTTCAACAAAACAATGGAGATTAATACATCAATAAGCATTTCTTTTTTAAGTATGGTTGTATGGGAACATGCAGCTGAGGGGCTGGGTTGGGCCTCATCGAGGTCAGAGGCTTTGTTTCATTGACCTTCATCATCTCAGAGCCTTCTGTGGTGCCTGACGAATAGCAGGTGCTGCGTACATGTTTGCTGAATGAGATGGTGGAAGGCTGAGACCAAAACACGCGTTCTTCTGCCTCAGAAATAAATGAACCGAGGTGAGCTGGGGGAATGGAGGAAGTTAGTAAATTTGATCTTAATCATGAATTGAACTAAGGACCTAAGGGCATACCAATTATCTCTGTTCTACAAATGAATTGAGAATTGTCAGGAAACTCAAAAAGGTAAAGAGGAACTGTAGGCAGGTGATCTCACTTGGAGCTTAGGATTTAAATGGAAGGAATACTGTACATGTCCAGGTCCCAGTTCTCAAATTTGTTGGTCTCAGGACCCCTTTTCACTCTTAGAAATTGTCAAGGATCCCAAAGAGCATTTGCTTAGGTGTGTCTTATTTATTGATCTTTACCATTTTGAACATTAAAATGGAGAAAAAGTTAAAATATTAATTCATTTATAAGTCACATTAAACCTGTAACATTTTAATTTTGCTGTATTAAATAAAATTTTATTTTGCCAACCCAAAAAATAATAAAAAAAGAGGCATCATTTTCATAAATCTCTTTAATATCTGGCTTAAGGCTCAGATTTCCTTCAGTCTATTGCAAAAATGTTGTTTTGGTTAAAGTATATGAAAAGAATCGATCCTTACTCAGAGATAAGGATTTGGATAATGGAGAGATACTTTGATATTCTTTTGAGATTAACTGTCAAATTTCTTTTGATAATACACTAGAACTCCACAAGTGGCAGTTTGTTAAACTTAGTTGCCATGTGGAATCTGAAACCCTATCAATGAACTATTCATATTTTGTTACCAAATATACATATATATATATCTCGATCTACTTTGTATTCTGAATGGATGTTTACCTATGCATGACTTGGAAATATCAGGCATTGGTCATTTGGGAAATATTGGTATAAATAATAAGGATCTTAATGTAAAAGTCTTTAAGTGTATTAGCTTTCAACCTAATGGTGATGGTAAGAAGTTTTCCAAAATTTGAATTTTCACTTGAGAGCTCAAATTTTATCATTAGTAACATATATTGTTAGTTGCTTTCCTTGAAGTGTCAGGTTCCCTTTGTTCAGTTTCATATTCCGCGTGAATATGAAAAATCATATTCCATAAATAAAGCAGCTAGTTCAGCTTGCAACTCAAGCAACTGCACGTGTGCTTTGCTTTGAGACAGCTGCAGTGCTTAAGGACAGATTACTGGTTCTTTGTGTACATTTCAGTGTTTGTCACAAGAACAGTGAAAAGACCTTGAGGTTTAAGGGTCTAGAATTAATAAAATTAATAATTTTACTATGTCTTCAAGATTTCTCCAGTGTTTAAGTGAAATTGGCACGTTATTTTTACTGTGAGTGCCTAGCAGTGCAGAATACAGTTATTGCTGGAATTCGTGGGAGCTACTGTTTTGATTTGTTCTAAGGCAACAGACTTACCCACCATGGCGCTTGCACCTCTAGTGTCAGTGTCAACACAGTGAAAGAGACAAACAATGTTTTTCATTCTGATGAGGACAGGCTTGATTTCCCAGCCTTCTTTAATGGCAGTCTAGTATGCCTGGAACCCATGTTACACAGTGCGAGAACTGTTGGCCTAGGTAATCAGAATTTTGCAATTCAGTAAAAAAAAAAAAAGGCCACTAGAAATACTCTATTAAAAGTGTGTTTAGACTACTTGGTGAGTGGAATATGATTCATTAAGGAGCAGAATTGAGTTTTAGCNAAGGCCACTAGAAATACTCTATTAAAAGTGTGTTTAGAATACTTGGTGAGTGGAATATGATTCATTAAGGAGCAGAATTGAGTTTTAGCAGTTGGATAATAATTTATTTTCACAATGAAAACATCAAGGTTTCCAAGAGGAGTGATGGGGACTTTTGTAAGATCATTGCTGACTACCAAGTTTGGAAATGATTTTCTTCCAGAGGGTTTAGAGTCAGAGTTAGTGCATCTTGGATTAAATGTCTGTGTACCTTGTGTATCATCACTCACAGGCAAAATATAAGCAATAGAACAGAAAAGTTAAAGGGTACAGGGGTCAAATATATGGTGACGGAAGGAGACTTGACTTTGGGTGGTGTACATACAATGCAATATACAGATGGTGTATCATAGAAATGCACACTTGACACCTATATAATTTTAT